TTCACTATATCGACTCTCCCAAATATTGTAGCCCATTTACGTTACCGTAATATTGCCCTGGTTCACCAGCTACAACGCGCGTTCGTCTTGGTGTTCTTGGTGGGATTACTGGCCAGCACTGGATACATCCAGCACTTTGTGCGGCCTGATGCCTTTTTTGCAACGGGGGTGGTGCGCTGTTCCAGCAGTACAATGCTCGCCCTCACACAGCCCGCGCTACGCAACACGCTCTCCGCGATGTTCGTCATCTGCCCTTTCCGGCACGCTCGCCGGATTTGTTCGCGATCATGTGGGGCATTATGGACCAACGCGTGGGCCGTGCTAGAACTTCCCCAACACCTCTGTCTGCTGTGCGTAAGGCGGTGCGGGAGGCAGGGAGCAGTGTGCCGCCTGACCTGTACGATGGGGTCCCAGCCTGCAACAAGGCTTGTCGTACTGCCCGTACTACCCTGTACATGCATTATGGATGTGGCGTTTCTGGCCCATGGTTCTCTCTGTTGCTGGATGTGCGAGGCTCTACACATATAATCTTGTGTAATATTCTATCTGTACGTGCTGTATCTGTACGAAGGAATAAATTGTACAATGGAGTCGGGGTGTAGCAAAACTTCTTTCCGTCAGTGTAGAATTAATATTGGCATTTTCAATATTAAATTATACTTAAAATTAAATTAATTATTTCTCATATCCTTTGGATCCAGTTCTGTTCTCCGAGAATCTTTCTCGTGGCCCGCAGTTGGTGAAACATCTATATACAATATTTATATAGATATGTACATCTGAATACAATCTGTATATATTTCATTAATTTCAAGCAGAAATTTTGCGAAAGTTTTTCAAACAAATGTACATGATCTTTTTTAGTACAGGTTTTCTGTAAGACAAAAATTTAGAGGGAAATTATTTTCATCCCGAGTCGAAATTGAAATATTATTTTCTCAATTATTGTGAATTAAAAATTAAAAGTAGACATAATTTTCTCTAAAATTGTGTATCAAACAGAGAAAAATAAATGATAGACGTAGAGAAAAAAATATGAGAAAAATAAGATACTATAGTGTTTCGGGCCGCTTGAAGGACGATGATTGCTTGATTTGAAGTATTTGAATTTAAAGAGATAGCGAATGGAATCGCCAGGAACAGCTCATGTCGTTGGTCCATAATTTGGAGAATATTTTTCGTTTCAAAGTTGGGAAATTTTTTTAATTGGATATATTATTTAGGTAAATTCCATCGAAGTGATGGGGAAAGAGCTCGCAATACATCTGGCAACTCTAGGCTTAGCTGTTATCCCTCCTTCTTTTGCAAGTATTTATACCCTACAGATCGCCTAGTGTGATTTGGGGTACGGAATATTAAGCACTAGTCTCTCTTATCAATATTTCTTTTAAAATGACCTTCACAATGGCTATCTTCATATTATTATCTCCCATCTCCCGCGAATTTTACACATAGATTTTTGAAACACGGACAAAATCCACATTAGTATTCGAATTCTACCTCTTAACAACCTACATTCAAGAAGTGTGGAAAAATTAAGAGAAGACGAAGAAGTATCTGACAGGTACTATCCGACTCTACATTGCCAGATACAACCCTAAAGACCCTCAACCTAAAGACGAATACAACACAATTGTACAAACGACCTTGTACTTTTGTGACGTAACAAATACACGTTAGTAAACGTACTAGTCACAGTAGAATATTACTTACCCTAAGAGAAGTTTAAAGGCCCAAAATTATCTTCGTTCTGGGCAACCTACAAAGAAGCGTAACACTTGTCGCAATAACCAAACTGCTTGATGTACCTAATATGGCGTTTGAAAAGCTAATTTGTTTCCAGGAACACTCTGACACGCGCTATCACCAGTGCTCAGTGGCTTAAACTACTTTTGTCCAATATTACCCGATCTTCTCCTACTTCGCACTATCCTATAAAAAAATTAAAGAAAAAATGTGACCCGGTTTTGAGAAAATCTTGTTTTTAAAGTTGCCTCTGTGCCTTTTATTCACGCAAATTTACGCGAGAACTATTCATATTTTGAAAAAATTCTACATGACCTTATTTAAAGATGTTGAAGAAAAATCACTAACTTCAATATTGTAGATGTAGGAAAACGCCGAAAAAAATTAAACATTTGCAAATTTCGAAAATTCAGAGAATTCATTGAAAATAGGACATGCGCCATTTTGTAAGCATACTTTGTTCCATCCAATAAAAAATAATCCCAAAATTTGGAACCGTTTTTGAGAAAAAATAACAATGTCCTTGATGATTCGTGAAAAGTTCCCCTAATTATCGAAACATGCATTTCAAATACAACCTGTGAAAAACCTGCATCGGTTTAGCCGCACACATAGACACACGGACGGATAGACGTATTGCCGTAAACCAGTTTTTCAGCACCAAGGACCCAAAAAAACGTGGATCCTGACTGCAGAGCGTGTTAAAGGAAATAATTTGCTGTACACAGAATTATCCACGTTTTCGGAATCTGCGACCTTTTATGCCGCAAAATCGCCGTTTTCGCCTGCAGCATTACATAACTTTCTCTAGTCTAATTATGTAGTATGAGAGACAAAAATAGAAGATAAGAATGTCATTAGAACAAAATTGCGGCAATTATTATCCCTCCCGCATTAGAAGAGTATTAGCGTAATAAATCTTCCTGCAACTTGTGATTAGGCTTACTTTCGTTACACTTTGCCATTGCAATATTCTCCATCTGTATCATATGGCCCCTTATCTGTCATGTTACATACACACACACACACACACACACGCCAAGCAATTCCTGACCAGCTCTATGATAGCTTTCAGTTTGAAAAGTGATGTGTTTTGATAAGCAAGCTGAAAGTCATTCATTGTCGGGACTGGTTTTTTATCTTTAATGTCTACCATACTTAGATCGTTAATAACCTCTAACCCAACATCCAAGTTGTCTTAAACAAACATGCTGCATGTTGTATTGCTATGTCTCTGTGTTCTCAGTAATTACTAGGGTAGGATTCTTATTTTAAAGACCTAAAAATGCCCACAACATTTCTAATCACATTCGTGTTTTCTTTAACTAAGTACTGAACAGTATTCATTCATTGATTGCGGTAGCTTCTCTCTTGGTTATCAACTTCTTCTGAGCTGTATCCTTCTTGCACCTAACAGAAGAGCGCACGCATGTACAAGTTAATATTTAAAGCGAACAAAAAAAATCCCTACTTCACCAAGCCCTCTAAATCAAGAAATATTTTGCCGATCCGGTGGCCAAGATCACTATGGCAGTAGTACCGAAGCGAACTCGGACCGAAGGATCGCGGGTTCGAGTCCCGCCTCGGGCATGGTTGTATTGTGTTTCGTCCTTTCACCCCATATCATCATCATTATCGTGTCAACCAACAGTTACTATACCGTTACAAGCAATAGTGGTCGCTAAGGACCTAGTAGTTGATGCGACCTTAAATAACAAACGAAAAAAAAAAATGTTTTGACATTCATATCGCATATATTAGCTAACTCGTAAACACACGCGATATGCAACTCGTAGAGCGTCGTCTGCATTTTAACCCATATGTGCCAGGTGATCACCAATTTATTCCATAAAAGATTTATATCTTATTCACAAACTTTCGTTTTGGAGTTATGAATTTTAAATGAATCTAGTAACAAACATGTATAATGTTTTTACATCGCGTTCGAAAATTCAAATTACTAGCTAATGCCAGTGACGGCGAGCAATCGTCGAAATACAAAAAGAACATTACGGCGTCACATTAAGAAATAACTTCGCTGAGGCACACACTGCGGTCATTTGCGCACTTGTGAATACTTACACCAACACATATAATCAAAGGCATTGCTAGATTGGTGCAACCGGCGCCCTCGAAGTCTAGGGCCCCAAATGAGTGCATCCGCCGTCCCCAATGAAGATGGCAAAGACAACGAGGGGTTCCTTTTGGACTTCCTACACCGCCGCCCTCGAGAACGTACCTACGCCTCTGTATCTGTACCACCATCGTGAAGCAACAAAACATATGGTTCGTGGGCTGCAAGAGTGGCACAACTCAAAAAAATCAGGTGTCGCGATAAACAAATTTGAAGTTTTCACCTGGTATTGGAATTCATCATTCTTGCATTCACACTTCTGCCATTCGTTGGTGGAATACTGTACTGTAATATATCCTGCTGGAAGGTAGACCAATCTGCAAATTCTGGAGAATGAGTTACTCTAAATTCGTATTTTTTGAGTTGTGCCACTACTGCAGCTCATGAGCGATATCTTTACCAAGAAAGAAGAACCTACCCCTTACATGAAGAGAAGCAGTAGCGGGGAATCGGAGACGTTACGTCGCGGGGCATTCTGCTAAGCACGACATTCTGAAGCACGACATTGTATTAATCACACAGAGTCATTTCAGAGTAGGCGTTTTGACTTGTTTGTTACAATAGAAATAAGAAATAAATCCCGAGTTATTTTTCTACATACCTTTGACTGTTTATACGAATTTTGGATTTCATGCCTCGAACTACATACTGTTTCTGTTGATTTATTGACGAACTAAGCATTGTACCTGAATTTTGTGAATAAAACATATGATTAAATTGTTGCCGCGGTGGCATTTCAAAAAGAGAATAATGGAGATTTAGACGAGTTGCTTTCCATCTCTGCACTCCGGCGTCACCACCGTTACTGCCCCCCCTACTTGACCCTGCATTCGCCTGGAATTTATTGGAGAAACCATGGAAAACTACCCATTAGCGCAGCCGGACTCTAGAATTCTCCTTCAGACAATACAGAATTCGACCATGCTGTTTATCTAGTTATCAAACCCTAGACCTTCTGGTCAGGGTTGCTGGCGTGGCAATAGTTACCCTGGCTAACTCACCCGGAGCCATCATCTATTGTCAAGTGGTACAGCATCAAGTTAGAGTTCAGAATCATTAATTTGTGAAACCCAGGAAATTCAAAACAAATATAGGAAATAATAAAGACACAAACATGAAATAGATTACAATAAAAATTATTTGTTGTATTATTTATTATTTTATGAGCAAAAAATATTTTTATAAGTTTCATGTTCTAATATTTGAATGCAAAATGTTTTTAATTACCTCCTTCAGTTATACTGAAATTGGATATATTTTTTACTTATTTTGTAGTGCATTAACAGCCTGGAATGCCTGATCAATATCTGCAATTAGATCTTCAACTGATTCTAAACCAACTGACACACGAATCAAGTTATCTGTAATACCAATTCTTGCACGTTCTTCTGGAGGCACTGATGCATGTGCCATGTATGATCTGTGAAGAAAAAGATATTTCTAAAAATATAGGCATACTACTTACACAAGGCAGAATAATTGAAAAAAAAGGCATTACTCACGGCAGTTGTGCAACACTTTCATATCCTCCTAAACTCTCAGCAAGAGTAATTATTTTAAGGGAAGAAAGGAAAGTTTTAGATTCTTCCAATCCCCCTTTCAAGTAAAAAGTAACCATTCCACTGTATCCATAACATTGCTTCTTCAGAAGGGAATGCTGTGGATGAGACGGCAAACCTGCCATAATGCAAACAATTAGTCTGCGCTTATATTATATGCATTATTCTAAAGCTACTAAAGCATCTTTATATCACTTTCTCATTCGCCCTCTCCCCTACTCTCCCCACTTCCCCTCCCATGCAAATGAAAACAAATGAGTAAGTCTCGATCAGATTTTTTTTCTTCATTTGTCGCATCTTTCATTGACGCAACGCGTCTCCAAGCCCCGCGGGGCGTTGAGCGCTTTCCGCTTCCGGAGTAATCCTCCAATAATTCATATATGTCATGTCATATCTGTCACGTCTCGTCACAGTCAGTTTTTAAGAGGACCGCCAAGTAGCATCTCCGCGTACGTGTCTCCTACTACGCGCCCCTGCGTCACTACTCAGCGGCGATAATCGGACAGGAAATAGGATTGGGATAGGGTTGAGGACACTTCACAGGGGTTGGACTAGCCCCTGTGAAGCATGCAAACTCATTTTGTCGTAACAAATTTTACATGAGGTTCTACGGGGATTCTATGGGTATCGAACCCGGAACCTAAGTGGTGATAGGCAAGCGACTTCGCCATTGAGCCACGAGAGCAGATTTTGTCCAGTTTCCCTGATCCACTGCGCAAATGCTGAGATAGCCCGTTGTTTTGCTTCTGGACGTAAATGTAACTTCACTATGCGCACGTTTTGTTCAACTCTCCTTTTGCTTGTAATGGTAGGAGTAGAGGTAAGGGCGAGTTACTATTTTGTTAGCAATGCAAAAAAATCTTATTTGCAATTCGTTTATCGATGCAAATACGTTTTCTATAACTTTCGAACGAAATTTTTTCAAGTATTGTTAATCTCGCGATTGCTTAAAATTTATTTTTATTTATTTTTTTTAACTTTTACCCATCTTTCAAATATTTATATTTACAATGATGGGAAGGGATTCTGGAACTCAAGAAGACGTGCGCAGATGATCTCCCCCATTCGTCACATACAGTTTTTACTTTTTTTGTTGGCTAAATAAATCTAAATTGGTGAAAGGTACATTGAAACTGGGAAAACAATTTGTTTAAGAATACAAACAACATGGAAATTTCCTTTTACCTGGATGAATTACTTTCTCTACAAGTGGATGAGTTTCCAAAAACTGCCCAACAGCAAGACTATTCTTCATATGTTGTTCCATTCGTAATGATAAGGTCTTTAAACTGCGGAATACCAGGAAACAGTCAAATGGAGATGGTACTATTCCAGTAGCTATTAAATGAAAAATTACAAGATGTTTAAACAATATGAAAACTCTCCTTTCCTAAAATAATATGTAAAAGAGCAATCCATCTTACATTTAACTAGTGGTGCTAAAACAGCAATTACTTTATCACATAATGTTTAACTTTTGTAATCTTTGAAAATGATATCTGTATCATTTTTTAAGTGTTCTTTGCTCTATTCACTGGAAAATGTAAAGAAACAATTTGGAGCTGGTTGTGAAATTTTTTTTTTTTTCAATAAACTTCAGACAAAAATTATGCAAACACTACACGTTTTTTCAAAAAAATGTACATAACCTTTTTTAAAGATCTATTTTTTGGAACAGATTTCATTTAAAGCAAAAAAATATCTATCTTCAATGTTATACTTTTGCAATGTTAATGTTTTGCAATTTTTAAAAATTCAGAGAAATGCCGAAAATGGCACCAATTTATATTTTTTTATTGGCCTTGAGTTGTCTTTGATACATATGAGGAGAGAATTTAAAGGAAAAATTTGGAACAATTGTTAAGAAAATAATCGGTGAAAAATATTCACGCAAAATTACGAGAAAACTTCTCATATTTGCATGACCTTATTTCAAGAACTGTCATTGAGCAACGGATTTCATAAAGAAAAAAATTCTTTATCTTCAGTATTGAAGTTTTAGGAAGACCCAAATAAATTTTGAACGTTTGCATTCGAAAAAATCAGGGATTTCAACTAAAATAAGACTTGCGTTGTTCTTTTAGGCGTCATTTACGCTTTTTGAGAACAAAGTATAATAAAAAACGTTGAGCTACTTTTGAGAAAATTTTATTGAAGCTTCATGTAAAGTAGCCCCAAAATCAAAACATCCATTTCAACCTCGTAGGGCCTGGAGTCTACTCAAGTCGATCGTTTTGGAGAAAATCGTCTGAACGTTGACACACGTTGACCACAGACAGACGGTCAGTCGTTTTGCCGTCAATAGATTTTTCGATATCAAGAACTCTCAAAATATGAATTCTGACCGCATATGCATGTTAGAAGAAATAATTTACTACTTATATGAATAAAATTTATACTTTTACGTAACCACGGCCCGGCAATCAGAACTTTTCTGTCAACAAATTGCCAATTTCCGTCGCATGATTACAATACTTTCTCTTCTTATGAAGTTCGTCGAGAAAGTAAAATTGGAAAGATTAGGTGTAATCTGTGGGCGTCTTATAAAATTATTTCTTCAGTTCATAAATTCCCAAATAAATACTCGGAGAAAAATAGAATTATATCCCCTTGCACTCACATATAGTTAATAAATTAACTCACAGAAATGAACATTACCTTTTTGAACAAACTTAAGCTTTTCATAAATCTGTTCATTGTTGGTTGAAATAGATCCCATTACACAATCAGTATGACCATTCATATATTTTGTTAAAGAGTACATAGTTATATCTGCACCTAAATTGAGAGGTCTCTAAAAAAAGGAGAAATCACTTTTTAATATAAATGTATCATTTTTTAACCAATCATCAATTTCTCTCATTTCTGTCTTTTTTATAAAGCTTAAATCAAACAATTATGTATATCCACATACCTGAAAGTATGCACTGAGGAATGTATTGTCTACAACAACAATTACATTTTTGTGTCTGTGAACTAATTCACAAACTTTTGTTATATCTATAATTTTCAATAGGGGGTTTGTTGGAGTCTCCAGCCATACCATTTTTGTATCTTTTGTGATGGCATTTTCCACATTCATAGGGTCACAGCCATCAACAAATGTTGTTTTTATGTCCATGGGCTCAGCAATCTACAAACCATATGAGCTATTTATCACATTTTTTTCTTAGCTCATAATAACTAAATCTTAAATACACACTATTGTTAATAACATTATTAAAGATATTAAGATTGAGAAGAATTTTCAACTAGATTTCCTCAGACTCAAATAAATCCATGAGCAACTCCTTGAGTAGGTTTGCGTAATTATATATCTTTATCAAAGTACATTGTTTGCATATATACTATATCCCTTTCAGAGTTTGTATTTACAGTTATGTAAATATTATTATAATCCCAATCAACACATTTGGGCAGATTAGGATTTCTCATTTTTATTTGTAAACAAGTTTCTTTTTTGCTTTCAGACCAGTGCATATTCATTGTATAGGTTGTTGAGTATCTACGATATGAGTTTTCTTATATGAACATGCATTTTATGACAAAACTATTTTAACTTTAAGAGAGAAAGAATAGCCAGTAAATTTCTGCAGGCTCTAAGAAATAAGATATTTCAAAAATGTGGGTCAGAAAGGGATAAGGTAAAATTATAATGAATTCATATGATTTTAACTGCCATGAATATTTTAACGTATACAATACAACATTGACAGACAACATATTCAATTATACTTTTGTGTGTACGGAGTATGTCAAATGCTACTCCTTCATTTGCATTTTTTAATGATATTTTAATACCACTAACATTGTTTCTAATAACAGCAATAGGATTTGATTCATAATAATAATAATAATAATAATAATAATAATAATAATAATAATAATAATAATAATAATATAAAAATATGTTAATATATCTTTTAAAAAGTGATATTAAAAATTATATCTACATTAAAAATAATAATACTAAAGAATTTGAGTAATACTGTGTGGCAAGTTTGTCCAAGTGATTCTTATACTATTTGATTGAGCCAAGATGTCATATCACACAAATATTTTTTTATAAAATAAGAAAAGAATATCCTTACTTCTTACCTACCGCCAATAGTGAGATATAATTTTTAATTTCTTTATTATCTATTCTTAGCACATCTTTAACATGTTTGAAAATTTTCTTAGTTCTTTAAAAAAATGTCTGATGGTTGATTCAGGTGGGTGGGGATGGGGGGGTTCGTCTGCTATCTCCCAAGCTCATATGTATTGTAATTGTGCTCAATTAATTCAAAATATTTACTGTATATAAGTCTCATTACATTGAAAGCAGTTTTCACATATTATATATA